GCTGCATGTTTCCAGGCATAGTTCATTGCATGTATGTCATGTATGTGTGAAGCACCAATCGCTGGATTATCATCCAGGCGGTTCAGGACGGTATGGGACGCTCCTGAGTGTGCCGCGGCTCAGCTGATGCTGAGAGGGCCTCGCTGCATTCATCATTGACTTCCGCTGCGTAAGCAACTGGCGAGGGAGCCAGGCGAAACCCTGATTTCGCCACTCTGCTCGCGAGTGTGCTGTTGCTCTGCCCTTGCTGAGAGTTCTCGCCCAGGGTGGGGAACTCGCCAGTGGAGGGATTCTCTAGCTTGTACACACGACTCACGAGTCACATGTCTCTTGCATAAGTGGCAGCACACTTCAACAGCTTGCACGACCGTGTGTAGAGCCTAGACCAGGAAAACCGTATTCCGAGATGATTGGATTCGAGATGATTGAATGCCCCGGCGGCCCAACTGAATAGATGTCATCATTGCACATATGGCTGGTAGCAAAAGTGCAGGCACAGCGCAATGAATTTGGATACTAATACAATTGCATGGTAGAGGGGTGATTTATGCACTGCGAAGTCTAATGGGGGCCGATGAAAGGTCGTTCGATGTATGCATTGCTAAGATTGCTAGTAATCAGATACTTCTAGCTAGGCTCAGCTCAGAAGCGACTTAGATAGCTTGATCATGCTACACAGAAATGCAAGCGAATACTGATGCATGCAGTAGACCACCCGTTTACTTCACCGTCTCCTCAACTCAAACCGTCCATGATCTGCCTTTGGTTTTTAGTAAACCAGCACGAGGGTCCCCGGAGTCCACTTTAAATACATGCAATCGATCGTCGAAGATCGGATCTGACTCCCAGCTTCCTAGTCACTACTCGCGCATGATTGAATGGTCTCTACAGTGTGAAGCTACTGCCACCAAGTCAAGCTGATGATGTGCCCGCCCTGGTTATATTCAAGCCATCGTTGGCAAAACATTGAAGAAATGGTAAACTTCATCACTGTCCAAAACGGCTACCTCCGTTCCACAGTCAGCACACTCTACTGGGGAGAAAACCTCCGTGGCTTGTGCACCAGGGCTTGGAACGCTTCCATCTGCACAAAACAACCTCAAAACTTTAGCACGCAGTTGCAATCGAGTGGACATGCAAACCGTCTCTTGCGGCTTTCGACGGCGCGGTATTACTCCTCAGCAAAAAATGATTGCGCCAGTCTGGCCAGCAAGAAGGGTCTCCACTGACTCGCGAACCATTCAAAGTCCAGCCACCGAAGCAAAGCTAGGAACGTGAGGGACTTGACTTGCTCAACAAGATTTTCCCCGTGCTTGTCTACAGTGTGGTGCTGGAACCGTCAGTAGAGCCACCACAGGCTGATCAAGATTGTGACCTGCTACGCCTTTCTCCATCCTGCTCTATCAAGAGAACGACCTTCCCAAAAAGCTCGCGCAGTGTTTTATTACAAATGATGCGCCCTCCCGCGCTCAAAATACTAAAGAGAACTCGAAGAGAATCAAAGGAACTCAGAAAGAACACCAAAGGAACTCAAAGAGAGACAAATTGACTATCAGCAGATATGAAGGCGAAGGTTGCCCGAAACTACTGCAGCCTCACCCTCTTGCCCCCGCCTGCGCCCCCGCCTGCGCTTCCCCGCTTGCGGCGGCGCCCGCAGGACCTCCCCTTCTTTCACCTTACAGTTGGTCACGAACATGGCCCGGAACTGGTTCGAGTACAGCTCGTGCTGCTGGCAGTCGATGCACAGCGTGGCAAAGCACGCCGGACAGCTCAGCACCGCGTCCGAAACGCGGCCCGTCCGCTGGGCGGTCGCCCAGTTTTCATCATGGTCGTCAGCCTCGGGATCGTAATATGCGGCCTCAGACGCGCCTGGCCGGAGGAGGGGAGTTTCAGTGACGACTCAGTCACAGACAAGTGGGAAGATCGGCGCCGTATTTTTTCCTCGTTTGGTGGAGTGTCATGGCAACAATTCAACCCCGCCCCGCTTGAAGCTCTCTTCAGATGGAACTGCGACGACAGCTTTCTCCGACGCAAAAGTCTCAGGACAGCAAAGACAAGTTTCTCGAACAATTTCTCAGGACAGGTAGTCGTAATCTGTGTGCCAACAGATCGACGAAGAGAATGGAAAAGCAATGGCACGAAAACTGGACGATGAAGAAAGTGGCGTCCGAGGAGATTCCATCAAAAGCTGTCGGAATATATCGGTGCGCAGAAGGACAGCTGAACTACCGGGTAAAACTTGTTCACTAGATTGACGATGCTTGTCGATTTCAAGCTGCTAAACACAAGAAAACCAGGCTGATAAGGTTGCGGCCCTGAGCGAACCTGGACAGCAGGGCTGTGCTCATTCAGGTCCACTCAAGTCCCAAAAACCCGTGTAAAGAGCCACTTCCATGTACAAGAACAGGGAAGGCAAACACCGCATGCCACAAACAACAACGACTTACAGCTATTATATAATCAGTCCCAGTATGCTGCTCTGTAGAGTCATATGCGGGATCAGACAGTATCTGCAGGTAAACTTTTGAACCCTCTTTTGAATACTTCGTTCTGTGGATCCTCTGGCCCAAGCATTTGCCGCCCTAATTGTCCATTTCCAACTGTGCATGAGGCAATCTGAAAAGCGTTGGAAACAACTAAGAACTCTCACATACGAAATGATAAGCAAAAAGATGTGTTGGTCCCACACCTGTTTCTCCCTCATCTTCGCTGGAATCCATAGCGGCTCCTTCTGATCGATCCCCGTCTGCTGCTTGCAAAGGTTCATCTGTTTTCCCCAACTTTGGCATACTCTCCCCGTTCTCTGCTTCCTTGCCCCTGCCGCCCCACATGGTCGGAAAATCAAAATGCCCCTCCTTACGCTATGATAGCCCTCGAATTTTGTAGGTGCCCGCCCACTGGTTGGAGTACAAAGTATGACCTCAAGCTATTGCTTTCTGCTCATCTTCAACTCTTCTGGTCTGCTTGCTGCGTCTTGGGTGCTGCTTCTACTGCGTCAGGCGCACTCTGTATCGGCTTCTCGCCTTGCTTCTGCTCCACGTAGTATTGATCCACCGCGGGTTTGAAAATGTAGGTCCCGGACAAGATGCCCAGCCTGAAGATAAAATACTCAAATGAGTATTCTGAAAAGGAGAAAGCACAATCCCAAAAGGCAAAGAAACATAATGACTAGAATATCAGAACTCCATATGGTCACGAAATCTGCATCATGCTCTGGCGCCCTGAAATGTACAGCAATGGTTGCCTTGGTGGAGCGGCCTCTCCATTGGTCTTCCGTTTACCTACATTTGTTCGGTTGTAGAAAGTGTTTCCTTGTACCTTTGTTGGGAATCAGCATCTGAGAGCAAACACACAAACAGACAGCGTACTTGAAAGACACGGAACACGACACAATCAGCTTCGCTGAAGGCGGCAAGGATTTCTTAGAAATGATCATAAGTACGAAACCACCAAAACTACCACCTTGTCAGCTTTTTCCAAACCTTTTCAGAAAGTCTTCATGTCAGTCAAGAAACAGCATACTTCTTCAAACACAGGAAACGTGCTTTACTTAAGATTGGTTTACGCACCCTGCTGCCATCACCACCGTGCTGATGGGCAATCCACGCTGCCTTCTGTACATGCTGATGTTGCTTGGCGCCAAAGCGCCTCTGATCACGCTTGATGCGGCGCAGAGCTACGCACACAAAGCCACCACCACCACCATGCCAGTTGGCACTTTGCAGGACATGGTTAAGGGGTCAGGTTACTGGTTAGCGGACGGGTTCATGTTCAGTGGGTCGACTTGGGTTATTTAACCCACTTGGGTTGTAATTAGGGTTTGCTTTCAACCATCGTGACATAAAGTACTAGATTCGACTTTTTGCCTCCCTGTATTGGCATGTCAATTTCGCGGTAAAGCTGTTTTATTCGTGATCCTATTGGCTAAACCCTTACCGCCTGCCAACGTGGCACCATCGAGCATTGACCTTAAAGACCGCGCACCGTCGATTCATCTTCCACTTGATCCAAACCGTTCACTGGCAAACATTCATCGTCCGGCAGGGAAACCCCTAACCTACTATGCATGTACCCTGAAACCTACTCTAACGCACTCTAACCTACTCTGAACCACTCTAACCCCCAAACCCTGCCGCACCCACGAGGCAACAAATCAGACACATTGGATAAACCCAGACTATAAACCCCGGAAATGCCTCCCGGTTAGGAAGGCCATTTTCATTGAGTAGGTAGTTAATATTACTACAGCTTCTCCCGACCATCTTGCCAGTAGTACTAGAGTAGATTTGAGCAGCTCTCAGAGTCAGAGTGAAGGTCATTCAAATTGTTGGGGAGGCGTTTGAGAGGGGAGGAGTGCATCACTGCGTATAAGAGGGGACTGGGACTTTTTCTAGGAAGCAGCAGAGGCTTGGATCTGGGTGCTGGAGAACGATGACGCGGGGCAACCAGAGAGAAAAGGATAGAGAACGGGCTGCGGCGCGCAATGCTAAGGCTGGGCAAAAGGCAGACGATGGGCTGACCCCACAACAACGACGAGAAAGGTCAGTGAGATCTGCCATAGCTTGCTGTTTTAAAGGCAACTGTACTGCTTGGCGCTGGCCCCTATTGAACAACTCAGTATCAGCTGGTATTTTGTTTATCATTGTCTTCTGCAGTGCAAAGGTTGAGGGCAGAAGCGTTGGCTTGGTTGCAAGTCGATTTTGCTTTCTTGTGTGAAAAGTTGAGATCCGAGTTTAATGTCTTGCTTGGGACTCTTATCAAACCCTAATTCTGCTCGATTGGATTAGCACCTAAAGCTTGAGCGGCTCGCAGGGATGGCAAGTTGTTGCAAGAAAAAGCAGCCAAAAAGGCGGCCCAGGCTGCTGCTGCCGCGGCTGGGGGCTCAGCCTCCTCAGCCAAAAAATGAGTCCCCAGGTTGAGGTAACTTGCCTCACCATATTTGTTCGCGGGCTTGTGAGGAATGCAGGGATGGTTTCTGAGGGATCTCATGCCTAGAACCAGACTTCTCACCTTTCTTGAACACAACCAGCTTTTGTCTAACGGACATAGAGTCATATCAGGGCACGAACGACTGTGATTGTGCCAAGTGGCGTCGCTGAAAGAATGAAAGCGCGGCACCTTAGCTTCGAAGCTCGCAAGAAGAACTGGCTGGACGGAACTAGAAGCCAGGATTAACCCTCTATGGTTAGATCCGATTCTTTACAAAAGCTTCGATATGGCATTCTGAGTTTATGGCCTTGGTTTGAAAGTCCGTTTGTTGGCTCTCCCCAGGCGTGACATCGGATCCCTTGGATCCATCTGTCCTCTCATCTTTCTTATCCTTCTCTGAGTTGAAAGAAGCGGCAGCAACTTAAGGACCTTGATGTAATGTGCAGGGATGCCAAAGCACTGGCTGAAAAGAGAGCAAAGAAAGAGGCCGCAGCAAAAGAGGGCGCTCAGGCGAGTGGGTCGAAGATTTGACATTGGTGCTGAGCTGAGCCCGAGCTGGAAGTCTTCTGGCGCTGGTCAGTCAGCTCGGCAGCGAATGGGTTTGAATTTGGAAAGGGCGATGAAACGAGATCAGATTTGACCACTTTGCAGCGGAGCGCTTGACCAGGAAAAACCGAAGATTTAAAGGTAACGTTGAGCTACGTAATCTTGAACACGTGGAGGTGGCTCCAAAAAGATCTGCTTTCAGAACATGGAGACCCGAGTTCACGTTAGATCGTGGATGGACTGGAACGATGAGATGAGGGAATCCTCTGACGTTGCTAGTGGTACTTTAGTACACCGGCAACCACTGGTACAGCACTGATTGCACTATTGATTGAAGCATAGTACGTCTAAACTTAGCGGTGGAATCAGCCTAGCCTGCATCTAATCCAACTAATGCCATGCGTTTGTGTCTCAATGTGCATGCCATGGTATTCGCGTATATCTATTGCATGAAGACTGTCCGTACAGTGCCAGACTATCGTGCATGATGATGCGGTCCAGATTTGCGTTCAATAGTTGAAACATGCTAGCTGAATTGCATACGAAGGTAGTGACAACAGAGCATATCTCGTCACGCGTGCCTAGTCGCACTGAACTCATGTAATATAACGTCAATTCGACGAACTATATCATCAAGCGCAACGATCAGGGCCGGCCCATGTGCTTTCAAGTTGATCATTTCGAGCACGACATGATCGTTGGATGCGCAAGGAAGCACCATGCCGGGTCGGGCAATACACAGTGCTGGCATGGTTTATTCTTGCAGAACACAATGGTCCAGGCTACATGCCAATAACTGTGCGCTCGCGCCAAACCAAGGTAGTCCATTCAACTCACTGGTGAAAATCTGAGTACAACGACTGGCAATCTGATCAGAATCATGCCAATTCAAATAACTCCACTGCCGAGTAACAAAATGATGGATTTGGAACAAGCCATACTAATGACGCCAATTCCCAAGGTGACAAAAGCAGGTGACCAACATCATCGTGAACTTCTGGCAGAGGTGCTTTCAAAAGTGTTCAGCTCCTCTAGTTCCCTTTCTTCTTCTTCTTTGGTCGTGTCCTTTTCCGTTTCTTATTCTCTTCCTCACCCGGCTCTCCCGCACCTTCCTGAGGAGCCATCGGCGCAGCTGGCCGTTTTCTGTTCCCACTCTTACCCCCAACGCCAGCTCCAGGTTTCTCTATCCTCATGGGAGCCGCACGTCCTTCTTCGCTGTTCTGCCTCCCTCTTCCGCCCCCTCTTCCACCCCCCCGTGCAACATGCTGCGGCTTTCCTGAGCCCCCCCCCCACCTCGTTGCTGGATCCGCCCCCCGGAATGGGGCCTCCCTTCCCTCCCTCTCTGACTGACTGCCTGCTTGCGATTTGCTGCAGCCCCGCGTTCCCGTTCTCCCTCCTCGTCCTCCATGACCGGGTCCAAGGGGAGTGCGGCCCGACCGGCGTCGCCTCGGGCCGAATTGCCACGTGAGTCCTCCCTAAGCAGGACAACAAAAGAGCATGAGCATCTTATTAATTGCTTTTGCTCCTTGCCGAATAGACGCCCAATCTGTTTGACTAATAGATCACAGACACGTGCCAGTCTTGAGCCCTGTCAGTCTTTATGGCTAGACCGGAAAGGACCAAGAGTGTCGTTTCTCACGAGCACTTGGTGGCGAAGTGACGTGAATACCCCGGTCGATCTTCTTCGAGATATTATGGCGTGCTCGAACGCTTCAGCCTGATTGCGGATATTGGTCCGCGCTTCGACCTTCTCATGGCCCCTTCTGAAGAAATATGTGGGACTTGCCGCGCCTATCAGCTTCTCGGCGCTGCCGAGTGGGACCCAAAACCGAGCACCTTGGTTTCTATCCGGAAACCTTGAATCCGTCAATCACTAAAGCATACGCCAGCCGAAACCTTCCATTCCGAGGACCGGAAAGTGAGATCTCAGTAGGACGCCCAAAAATGGCTTCCAGGAGGTGGCCCAATTTGGAATGGAAGAACACAAAAAGGCGCACCTGGGACTGATATCGGTCCACTCGTCGTCTGCGTCTACGTCGCTGATGTCACCCTTCATGAAAAAGTCGTCGTCGCTCATGTCGCCCATTCCGTCCTCGCCCTCACTGCCGCTCGCCTCTGCACCACAAAATCGCGCGTCAGTCCATGAGACTCCCGAGCGCACATGTCACCAAACGTACGATTCCAACCGACAAGGACCTATATGGCTTCTTGAAAGACAGAGTTGATAAAGACAAAGACGACTTTGCCCACGTCTGAGCGGCTGAGGTGGGCGTCCACAGAATGCAACGCTGCTCTTTCTTGGGCGAGAAATCCAACAAGTAGTGAGATCTACAAGAAGTCCTACCTTCCTTTAGCACAACGAAACGCTGGGAATATAATGGTTGATACGCCGGCAACGCTAACACGTGCACAGACGCAGCTCCTTGGGTCGATTTCGACCATGTCTTTGCCCCAAACTGTGAACAGAGCTACAGTTTATTTGCAGCAAGGCATAATGACTGCAGAAGACAGCCTCAAATGAAGCCAATGTGATTGACCATAATATGCGAACAAAGAAGGGACAACAGTGGGACAAGGCTTGCCTTCCAGGTCGATCTGTGCTGCCTTTGCGGCAGCTATGTTTGCCTTCACCCGCTCTCGCATCTCCTGCCTCTTCTGCTGAACCGCCGCATCATCACCGCCCGCAAAGAGGGCAATGTACTTTTGATCCTTGGGGAAGAACTGCAGGGAACGAGAGGGGGAGCGCTCAACGTGGAGACACGAAAGCTCCAGTGGCACGACACAGAAACAGAACAGCTTCCTTGTGAACAAACAAGCTCAGCACAATCAACAGTTAATGCAGGTGGGACTACGAACTGGCTTCAACGTCCAGAGCTTCTGAAGCATTTTGAGCGACAAGTAGCTAGGATTTTGCCTCCAGCTTCACAAGCTGTGTGAATACGAGCTTTGCTTCCATCGACTTTGAAATGATTGCTGAAATCGAGCTTGTCTGCTAGCATCCACTGTTGGGCCTGAACAAGAGGAGCAATGCAGTGGCTGTTGACGAAGTGCGACCCAGGCTCACACTCGACGGGTCCTCTTTCCAAGAAGACACTTGCCTTTGGCAACTACTAATACTAGCAGCTACTTTGGCGGTACGCTGAATCCTGATATTATCAGGATGAAGGAGCCAGTCAGTTTACGCCCCTCACTCTGACATACTCCAAATCTTCCTTGAGCTGCGCCAGCTGGCGGCTGAGCTCAGCCTGCTGCGCCTGCGCATCCGGCCCCGCATCGCTCAAGCCGCGCAGGGCGCGCTCCGTGCGCCGAATGCGCCGCTCCACCTTCCGCCTCTCTGTGAACACCAGGGGCAGTGGCCCATCAGTCTCCAAGCTCAACACGACGGACGCAGCAAAGGATCCTCGAAATGCACCTGGGCTGGGAGGTTCGTTGACATCGACGCGAGCGTGTTACGGGCATAGTGATTGGATAAGCAGCTTCCACTGTGCATTATATGTTCGGTCAGAACGGATGCGGGCACAGGACAGCTGACAGTGAGTTTTCCGTCATCCAAGACGATGCTGAGACTTGAGCTGACATGAGTTCAGAAAACAAAGGCAGTTCAGCTGGGCAATTTGGGCAGTCGGTGTCCTCACCGAAGAACTTAATCTTGTGGTACCGCACCGCCAGCTTGCGCTCCAGGTCGCTCTGCGCATGTGCGTCTACGACTTTGCGTAACTCCGCCAGCTTGGCCTCCTGGGTCGCTTTTATGTCAGGCGCCAAGGTCTACATATAAGAAAGCAATTAAAAGATGATAGCCATTTGTTGTCACAGTGAGTGCTCAGCTGTGGCAGATCGTTAACTGCTCTGGTCAGGCTAGGTTTCTTCTTGTGCTAAGAAACCGGAGCACAGAAAGTGAGCTGGTGTGCGAGAGCAACATGCAATTCAAGGCTGAGAAGAGGCCCTTCCGGCCTTGCTCGTCAGATGCGCTGTCAGCATGGCAGCTAATCAGGCTTCACTGCCCATAATGTACTAAAAACCTGCTCTATCATAAGCACTTTCTCTCCGGCCCCCAACGCATAAGCACTTCTCTCCCGAGCGACCACGGGGTATTCGTTGGGTGCTGACTCTTGCAATGCCTTTTCCATCATATTAAGCGTCAAAGGTCAGCTCACAGTTCTCAGCAGCCGCTCAATGGAGCGTATCTGATTCTTGACGGACGCCGGCTTGGCCTTTTTAACGCCCCCCTGGGCCTTTAACAGCCCTCGCCGGTCCTCCCCTCTCCCGTGCCCATGGCCGCCGCGCCCAGCTCCGCGAGGCCGCCCGGAGCGCCCTCTCTGGCCCCTCTCTCTTTGCATGATTGTAACCCAGCTAGTCCTTGCAGACGTCCAATTCGGTAGAGCTGAGGTGAATGAGAAGTGGGCAATAGGTGGTCAAAGTTGTTGCGCAGATGAGCGCCCCTACAGCAATCAAACAGCAGGTGCCGTGTCTCTCCTCAATAGTTGCTCTGCCCTTGGTTGAAAATGGGTGCCCCCTTGCAAGTTGCACGGCCAGCTTCAACCCTCAGAATCACAGTTGGCTGTCGGACAAGAAAACGAGATGAAAACCTCCTTCTTCAGCAGTGCTCCGGCCTCCCATGTGGGCCATTGCCAAGTGTGGAATGACCTCCTCCGCCATCCGATTTTCAGGCCCAACAGCATGGATGACCTGATGTCAACATCATATGTTAAACTGACTTCATTCGCGAATCACAGTCTTCCTTCTTCCCAACTTGGAACTCTCCGCCAATTGGTGCTTTTGGATGATGCTGACGCTTTTGATGGGAACGCAACCAATGCATGGTAGCGAGTTCCACTACATAGAGGTGATCCCCAGAGCCTGAGGGTATCCAGAAAGTTGGTGTCGGATTTCTCGGTATCGGATTTTGAAGAGTCGTAGCCAGCAGAGGCTCGGTGCCGACCGCCGACTTGGTCATAAATTAAGGGTACCGTTCATCGGACGGTATAGAATAACGAAACACAGGTAATCAAATAAGCTGAGATAATTAAACACTGTATCACTGCTCTGAAATGGGTAGGGTTAGTACGGGGCTTAGGGTGGGTACGGGCCTGTGAAGCGAGTTTTACTACGGGTTACGAGTTCTGGTTTTAGTCGGGGTTTAGGTATTTAAGGTATAAAATATCGGGTGGCATACATTACGCATTATACATATATCACGGTATATCTGCTAAGTCTCATAAGATGTGCAGTCCGGCCCAGGCCAGTTGCAGCTAGGCGTGCTCTCTCGCGCCAGTTCGCCGTGAGGACATTGGTCGGAACTGGCACGAAAAGCAAGATCTGCAGATTTGTTGGCGCGATAATGAAGGCGGGGGTAGGTACCGACCGGCGCGTCCTCTTCGATGATGGGAGCCTTGCAAATCCGACACCCGGAAATCCGACACCAAGTTTATGGTTATGCCTGAGGTGGCATCATGCACAATGCATTTCTAGGACGTAGAAGCGCCATGGCGTTCAACTGACCACTACTAGTCTATAGCACGGTTGCCCAAACCCAGAGGAAGCAAAAATGGGTGGGAGGAAAGTAGTCGCACGAATGTCAGTTGTTGCAGTATGTCTCGGCGTGCTGCTCTCGTGCTGCCTGGATGTGGTCTGTGCTCAGGCCAATGAGAATGCCACGCAGTTACCATCAGCACAATTGGCGCCCGATACCTCTGGGGGGGAGGTGGTGGGGGGCCATGTAGACGACGATGGACAAGGTGAGGGTTGATAGCTTTCAATGTGCATCAGTTGACCAGGTTTCAGCAGTCTGTAGGGCGTTGAGCAGTCTGATTGCTGACAATGCTGTCTCAGGAGCAGAGCAGAGAAGAGGTGGGGGTCGTCAAAATACCACCATCTAAAAGATCTCGTTCCCTCTCTTTAGGTGAATCTGGAAAGTCGCCTCAGGGAGACAGTATTGTTAGCATCTTGGATGGGTTCTCAGTCAGCCAAGCCACTCTGTTATTTTTTTCGCCACTCACGATGTTTGGAAAGACTTTGCAGCTCTTTCAAGGTGTTGGTAAAGCTCCTTGAGAGGGCACTGGTTTCCGTTCTGTATTCAAAGAAACCCATATGATTGAACCAAGTTTTGACTCTTTCAGGGATGACACTGCGCTTGTATCCCTCTTCTCTCTCAGACCCAGTTATCTTTCTCACTTGCGAACAATTCTTCAGCTCTCTCTCCACACTGATTGACTCTTTGGAGTTGCCTTCGACGGACCAGGGCGCCCAGCGTGACGTTCTGTCGCCCTCAATCTTTCAACAACCGTTTCTCCACCTGCTGCTGCAATCTTCAACCCAGATCTAGACCTTTTCTCTAACTCCGGTGTCCAGGTGAGGTGGCACTTGGGTCGGTGGACGATGCGGCCATGCTCCAGTGGGCAATCGCGCACGCAGACCCCGAACGTATGAGCGCTATGGCGGCGGAGGTGCGGGGTTGGACCAGGGAACAGCTGGAAGCCAAGCGCGCCGACCTGCACCAGCTGCTGGAGACGGTCCAGCCGCCGTCTGACTTCCAAGTCATGGAGGTGATCCGCCCCGCTCGCCGCAACTTCACCATGGCTTCACAACTCACCGTTTGGACTTCTACTAAGCTGACCTTGGGCCAGTTGATGTTCAAGAAGGTGGTCTTGTTCTACTTGTGCCAGGTTCCGCAATTTGTCTGATCTGGCCGATAGGGTTGTGGGTCAACTGGAAAGGCCAGCACCAGGTTTCATCGAGCTGTACCTCTTCAGCTTTTGCAAAAATGGTTAGACCCTGTTCTGTCCTTGAGCGTGATTATCTTCCCAAAAGGGGTTATCTGCCCGAACTTGAATCTGACTGCTGTTCGCATTACCAAAACAGTGCCCTCTGTCTTCGAACCTACGCTTGCTGTTACTCCTGGCTCAACGAAGTTTACGGAACTCGATAAGATTCAAATCTTAGACCCTAAAACAAGTCTACTTAATCAAAGATTGCAATCTGGTTAACATTGCTCTACATTCGCCCACAAGCAAAGCATAGGACGTTTACTAGTTGAGTTTCAAAAGATGAGCGATTAGACAGTTGAAAATCAGCGAAGTCATCCACCCCAACTTGATGTCCAGAGCATTTTGGCTGACAAGTGATCCCTGGCATGATATTTCGGGTCAGTGAGGACACCCTCTCCCATGGTCGATTTACATAACGACAAAGATATTGCCCGTTCACACATGCGCTTTTGCAGGTTTCGACATTTTCAAATTACTCGGAAAAGGGTTTTTGTTCCCCTTGATTATCTGAGACCCGATTTTGAACAGCCTACAAAACACCGCAGGCGCTGCTGGAGGTGGCTAGCAACAGCAGCGAGACGGTAGCACGGCGCGCGGGCGCGCTGGAGGCGCTACAAGAAGTCGTGGAGGCGATCGACAACGCGGCCGACCTGCACAAGGCGGACGGCATCCGCACGCTGGCGAGCCTGCTCCGGGACGGTCACGCGGACGTGCGGCGCACAGCAGCCTGGGCCGTGGGGGCAGCTGCACAGAACAACGCGGAGGTACAACGCCAGGTGGGCAGAAGGCGCCCAGGGAATCAGGCGTGTTTTTTGAATGTGTGGCACTGGGAGTTGGGATTGAGGACACTTTGGGGCAGCCTAGGAAGGTTGGCGGTCAGGTGGGTCGTCTTTTTCTAGGCGTTGAAGCGGAACTCTGATCCGGCCGCTTTCCGGGGCCCTTCAATACGCATCCTGTTCTAAAGGTTAGCCAGCTGTCCCTACTTCGCCCTTCGTTTCACTTTTTCGAACGAGCCAGCCGAGTGCTTTATTGTCGAAAGGGTCCCCAATTCCGCATGAGCAATTGCTCTGTGCTTCGTACATCGTGTCACCTTCGCTGCAGATGCGCGGCCACAAGTTCCGGAGCACTTCGGTCTGCCTACATCTGTCCTAATCCATGCAAGCAACCACGGCACAACGCATTGCCTTCAAAGTAGAACGGATCTCCCTCTCAGGGCTCTCACTATACATTCCCCTCGCGCATTCTTTACAGTTCCTGAATACGACGTGCCTGCCGACCCTTTTGGCGATGGTCACCAGCTCGCACGCGGAAGAAGCGGCCAAGGCGCTGTATGCCGTGAGCGCGCTAGTGCGCGACAACCCCGAGGGCCTCCGCACGTTCTACCAGAAGGGCGGGCCAACTCTGCTGGAAACGATTGTCGCTGACGAGGAGGGGGATCCCCGGCTGCAGAAGAAGGCCGTGGGGCTGCTAGGAGACTTGGCGACGTTCCAGGGGGGTCGGCAAGCTCCGGGGTACGGCCCCCTGGCGACGCCGAAAGTGATGAGCGCCATGCTGCGGTTTATGGCCACCGGGGATGTCGACATGCGGGAGAAGGTGATGCGCGCTGCGCACGCGATGCTGGCAAACAACCCGGGGGGATTGAAAGTGTTCGGAGAGAAGGCCGAGGAGCTCGAGAAGCTGCGCAGGATCGAGGAGCGGTTAGCGGAGATGAGTAAGGTGGGGGAGAGTGAAGAGAGCGGAGAAGGGGACCGGGAGTGGCAGGAATATGTAAACGAGATGACGGAGGTGATCAAGCAGGTGGGCGAAACCGTGAAAGACGAGGAGCCCCCGCCCATGCTGGGGGCAGCGAAAGGTGGTCGGACTAAAGATGAGCTGTAATTGTGTATGTTTGTGCCGCTTTTGTTTATTCTGGCGTGAGAGATTTGATTGGACCCTCTTTGTACCTTCGATCGTCCCCATTCGTCAATGCAATTGGACCAGTTTGGCATGGGTCTTCAAAAGTGGATCAGGTGGGGGATCGTCCAGGCTCAGTCCCGGGTCCGACTCATTGAAGCTTTCAGTGCCCGCTGGCGCAGTGTAGCTCGGGGTGTTCGGTTGCATGTTTAACGGCTTCAAGTGATTGTTGCCAACCCAGTCGACTGGGCGCGTGACTGGCTGGAATTGTGATTCGATCAATCCCTCGATCATGCGATAATCTCGAAGCCTTCTATCAGTCTATACTTCACTGAGCGCAGCAGCCTGGCAACGTTGCGGGACGCGCATGATGGTGTCATGATGGCCCGGTTCACTAGAACTCGATCATGCGGCTTAAGCTGTATACTATATATACCTTACAGCAATTTTCGTATCATGACATATGTTGCATGGGCGCGTGATATCATCATTGGCTTTCATCAGCTTCCAATTAATTTGTGTACATACCAGACGGTATCGTCGTACTGTGCCAATTAAGCACATCCGCGATCATCATTCAATGCAACTCATCAACGCACCAACCACCGCGGCGCCCACATTTGATTGTCGTCGCAATGCATGGATCAAACCGAGGCGCAACCATATATCATCACAACTAGATTAAAGTTTGTGATAAGCTAGCCTTCATTGAAGCGCTACCGTCCTGCATGAGGCATGGGCGGTCAACTGAAGAGTTGATTCCTTGATTCCATGATTCCATGATGGTTGTAATGTTGCACTTACTTTCTCGATGTAAACCCGGCCGGCCGCCGGCCCGGCGGATTTCTGTATGTCGACCAGGGTTTACATCGAGAAAGTAAGTACATCATTAGTGACAACACACAGATGATGGCTGCCCGCCGGTCTGACGGCCTGAATGATAGAGCTCAGTCGTAACAGTTGAAAGCTGGCACCATGCCATTGAGATATGATCAAGAACGGCCTGCACGGCATCAGCTCTGCATATGTTCCAACACCAGCGTGATGTAGCATCGTGCACAAGTGTTCGACTGGATCGCAGCGATGACGGTATCAAACTTTTCTCCGCTGGTTGGAAAGACGATTGGCTGCTGAGTCCTGAACTGCCCCTCGCTAGGGAACGCAGTTGTTGCCAGCAAGCGGTCCCCAGATTGAATTCGAGTTTTATTGTGGACACTTTTGTTGAACCCATCGGCATGACCTCCTTCCGCTACTTCGTCGACCACCACTCCGTCATTCGCATCTGCAAAGGTTTTGGAGAAAAAGTTCAATACAGTGCCCTGCGAATGATTAGTTGGGCCCACAAAGTCTAATAAATGACATTGGTGATGGACTTTTGGATAGTCGTGTGTCTGACACTTTTCGATCCTAGACATACCTCGACCCTACAATTCAGCACCTAAATTTTATATGAAGAAAACGGGAGAGACTGATGGAAGTTCAAAGCAGGATTGGACAGAACAAAGTCCCAGCTGATTACGACGATGGTGCCTTTGTTGGCCTTGAGGCCACTGAATCTCATTCATTGGCTGGACACTATCACCCAGCTTATTGACTCAGCTTGATGCTTATGCACAGACAGCAATGGGATCTCTGCAGAGACACACCTTTGAAGTAGATTCCCAGTGGCTTTTGGAGTGCCACTGTGTACACCTTCTTGGCCAATTCGGAGGGTAAGCTGGCCAGGAAAGCGTCCAAGGATGCTGGGTCAACCTGCACGGTTTCCCCTGGTGCTCCAGCATGGACCGACACATTACTACTTCTGAAGAACACTGGGCGAGCCCACATTTGGTTTCCGGCCCAATGAGAAACTTGATGTGGGGGCTGCCATGATGCGAGGGGCTTTGGCCAACAATGAATCAACCCAACATGTTGCCCCCTTTTATGGCAACTCGTCAACCGGTTGAAAACACAGACTGGGGGACAATTGCCCATCGCTGAGCCAAGATTGCCAGCTAGCCGACGACTATTTCTGGCTGGCCACTTGTTTCTGTTGTGGCAAGAGAATTCTAAACGTGACAGATCGGCCGTACAGGTATCCACCATTGTGCTTGCTCGTGGCACCACATGGGCCACTGATGTGCATTGATTGCTGATGGCCTGAAACGACATTTTGTTAGCCCAGCTGGATTCGGGAGAGCTAGGACGCTCAATGGAGACTGGTGGTGCAGCGCTTGCTTTTACAAACCGACAAAAAGCTGCTCACGTGAGAGCTCATGGAGAGCCCTACCATTCCTCACGCCCATGGTTCCATGGTCAGCTCCCCTCCAGTAGTGCCCTCCTGACTCCTGTTTTGTTATGCGCCAATATGGCCCATTCCTTGCCTTTCAAGCTCACGAGATTCGAATGTCCCTGATTGTTTTTGCACTTTTTATCTGCTAGCTGCAAATTGTTTTGAACGTTATGCTTATGCGTACCGCTTATGGATGTTACTTCCGGGGGGTTGATTCCTCCGGGTAGCAGATTCAATACTCGATATTGTAAGCAGCTATGCCCATTGTATAGACTGGTAATTTGTCTACCGGCCGCTTCTTAGAAACACTTCAGCCTCCGAGCGGCCTCCGAATATGTCACGAATGAACCGTTTTCATTTGGGCCCCTTGCAAGCAAGAGATTGAATGTTCTACCCATGGGGGCCAGAGTCAGAGATTCCATGCCGGAGAGAAACTGGCGCTGCTGCAACAGAATGGGAGCCGACAAGTGCACTTGAGCTTGCTTGCTCACTCATCAAGCGGTTCCTTGCTCCTCTGCCTCAGGTGCAGTGAGGGAGCTGCGCGTGTACTGGCAGCCGCGTGCCTATTGTGCACCACTTTGACTGAGGAAGCAGCAAGAGCGCTGATGGCGGCGCCACTTCCTGCCAGCTGCTAGCATGGCGACCGGCACGGCATTGGCTGCCGCACCGTCATGTCTCAATGCAGGAGGCACGGCGGGCTGTGCCCTTGGGCGCCCTCGCTGGGAAGGGCGGAGTCAGGTTCACGTAGGGTGTTTTGATTCAGTGTTGCTCCTGGCGCCCGGGCTGCGGCCGCTTTCGCAAGCCTGCCGAGCGCCGCCGCTAGGAATACGAAGGAGTGAAGCGCCACGATGGCGGGCTACTGGACAGAGGATGCCATGCGCATCCACAAATTTTGACGGACGGGAGAATGAGCAGGCAGAAGCGCGGGGTTTCGATGCATCTTGTCCTTCCAAGAACAGCCACCGGCATGGGGTGCCGCCACCGCAGGAAACCAGCACGTCGGGGCGGGAGTTCGGAAGTGAGGGAGAGCGGCGCCACACGCGGCGCCACCCGTGGGCCCGGACGGCAGTGCGATGGGCGAGTGCCATTTTGTTGGGGACGGCGCTGGCGGTGGTAAACACGCAGCCGGCGATGGCGGCATGGGGGTTCGGGGGGAAGGGGGGGGTACGGGAGGCGCCGCGGCCAGGGACTGTGGGGCTGACGGACGACCAGCGGAGGAAGCAGGTTGGCTCATTGACAAATTGGAGTAACTTTGAAACCCTCCGTCTCGAAATTTGGTTGGGGAGATTGGGCGCACTTTCTTTGAATTTGTCGAGCCAGGAGCGGAAAGCGAGAATACATGCAGCCAGCAGGCAGTGGGCAACTGCTTTGTGCTGCCGGGGCGCCTCTTGAATTCGGGGATTTGGCGATGCTACTGTGTTGCACAGAGCCCTTTGATTTGTGGTTGAAGGCGACTGGTGCAACGACGTAGCAAGACAAAAAGGGTGGCACCATTACCAGGGATTGTATATTAGACGGTCTGCAATGCTACCAACGTGCGTGGTGATTACGTTGGGTGATCTTCGGTTTACGCTGCTTCAATTCTCGGCATTGGGCACTTTCTCAGAGGGCAGCCTGGCGGGTTCTGCATGTTTCGAAGCCAGAAGGAAGTCCTTTTGTTGAATATCATATGTGACCCCTGTTGTTGAAGCTGCTCCAAGGGCCATTCTTGAAAAGGCTCATCTCACCTGTCCACACTAGCCTATAGACTTCTAACTAGTTTTCAGTCTTATGATTTCCCCGGGACATGAAACTTGAGAACTGGGTTCTTGCTGTGTTTAATGATCTCTAATGCAATTCAGTACTAGATTGATTCTCCAGGTTTCTCTTTTACAGCGTAACTGGCTCTCGCACCATGGTTTCCAGACACACTCCTGAACCTTGTGTCCTTGGGGTACATGCATCAGACTAGCTCAGCAGCCTTGCAGACGTGCAATTGACCAGTGGGCAGTCAGTGAGTTGGAGCTACTCAAAGCAGTTTTGCATCATTTGAAGCCAGTCAGAGCAGTTCTGCGCAGTTCGAGCTAGTCAGGGCAGTTCTGCGCTGTCCTTGGGAATACACAACCCAACATACCTTTAGGAATTGAATGTTTAAGATGCAAAGCAACTTCTTGTGCTTGCAGGACGAGGAGGCAGAGGCACGGCGCGCTGCGGAGGAAGAAGCGGCGCGACAGGCACGATCACAGCAGGAGAATGAGCGCACGCGCGCGCGGGCGGCAGAGCAGGCGCAGCAGGAACAGCAGCAGGCGCGGGAGGGAATCATCCGAAATGTTGAGGTGCGGGCAGGGGGGGTGTCACATTGGATGCTTGCTGATGTCAATCATGGGGAAAGATATGGTTCCAAAGGTGCCACGTACAAGTTGTCTCTGAAGAGGTAGTTGCTGCTGGAGGTCCCCAAGTTGGAGGCCCGAAACAACTTTTGTGTGATGGTGACAGGTTGGAAGAGCACTGTAGTGACACTGTGTAAGGACGCCCAACTACGTGAGGGGTTCACCAAAAGTGGGGGCCTCGCACTGCACCAAAATGTGGGAAGGCCACTATCTCAAGAATATAGAAAAGTTGATGGGCAATCAATAGCTTATTGATGTCAGAAGTCTAGCATCTTCTTTTTTTCTTTCTGATATTTAGTCCAACTGAGTAGACAATTCTGTACTGCCTCAGCACCTACATAAGACTTGCTCCAATGAGATGTATCTTAGAAAATGCATAGAATACGGTTCTTCACGAATCTGCCGGAACTAATCCCCCTGCTCATGACCCTCCTTTCTGCACGCAGTTCTTCCGGGAGCGCAATGTGGACACGGACGAGTGGGAGCTGCCGCTGGCGGTGTACGAGGAGGCGGCGGACGCGGGCCTGGTGGACCGCTCCCTGCTGGGCTGGTCCAAGGACACGCTGCGCATCCGGCTGCGACAAGACCTGGGCCCCCTGGCCGAGCCGGAGTACTTGGTGGTCGTCCCGTACACACAAAAGAAGCGCATCCTCGACAAGTACACCGGGGTGAGGGCGGCGCGCGCAATTTGCGCGTGCTTCAGTAGCAGATGTTTAGGGTGCCCAGCTTTTGCATTGGACACCGCGCTGAGCAGGACGGAGGATGAAACACATCAAGGAACCGTTTATAAAGCATTGTCTGTCGATCTCGAGATGTGCTGTGCTAAGGAACGCGTGAAGTTACAAGTTCCAAGAGCAGCTTCATGGTACAGAGCTGCTGGTTTCGGTTGCCTCGATCGAGTGGCCAATTGTTGGTGCACCGCTCTTCCCCAAAGCTAGCCGCAGTATGAAAGCCCGTGCCTCACCTGGCATCCGGTTTGAGGCACAGACGACCCGAGATCGCCTTCCCTTCGTTCGTTTCGGGGCTGCCTAGCGATTTTGAGGCTCAGCCGCTCAGAAAAGGGAGTGTGCAACGACACCAGGAACGTGCGAATTGCTCGACATCACAGCCGAACCACATTACGGCAAGGCAGGACTCTGCTAAGCCAGCCGACCCGCGGCAGTGACATGATCGGTCACCTGTGCCAAGAACATGAGAGTCTGAACAAGCAGCATGCGATTCCGGCCCTTTTCGCCACTTGCACAAAGGTTTGCTTACGGTGCCAGCAGCGGTAACACAACCAGAGTTGACATCATCAGCTGTGACACACTCAGCGGGATCACAACTAGAGGTGGGCACGAACCTGTGGCTGCGCGTGTGTGCGTGCAGGACGTGGACGTCGCGGCGGGGGTGGGCCTGGGGGCGGATTCACCGCGCAACCTGTTTGAGGAGCTGCACTACGAGTCCGTCACGGGGCAAGGCCGCGGCCAGAACCTGGCGCGCAGGAAGATTGACCTCCTCCTCAAGCACTACGTGAGTGTCGCGCCCTGCTGCGGCCATGCTCGCGAGCGGCGGGATCCGTGCCCATTGCTTACGGGTTGCTGACTCATGGGACGGATGGACCCTTTGCGACACAGTTGGGAAGTCATACGGCATCTTCGTGTTGGGTGCTATAGTTCGCTCTATGTAAACGTGGGGGTGTCACCGAGATACCAGCACAAAGGACAATCCACTGAAGAGGTCCAGAAGAGGCGTGAAAAGCGCAGAAGCTGTTTCTTCTCGGTGTAAGTAAACAACCTGCTTGGACGCCCGTTGCTCAAACGGGTCTCGTCCTTCACTGTCTCTGTGGACAGTCAAACAAAAACTCCATCATGTCCGTATGTGCGCGCAGGGCGAGTACGGCCCGTTTTGGTTCTTGTCCAAGGACCGCATCGACCCCGAGAGCCTGGGCTTCAAGGACGGCGAGGCGGCGTACCTGTGGATCGAGTACTGGGTGGCGGCCCTCCTGGCGGCCACGTGGGTGTGGGTCATGTTCGTGGACAAGGACCAGAAGACGGAGCGCTACTGGGACGTGCGCGCAGTCAAGGAGTTCCGGCGACAGTTCCAAGGGGTGAGCTGCTGTCGAACAAAGGCTGCTCGATGTCGTATGCAATCGAGAGCGGGGACCGGAACCCGTGCGACTAAAATGCACCAACGTAGGCAGCCCTACTGCCCGTCACGTGCTCTGATAGAATGGGAATGCGTTTTAGGAACTGTGTGCTGCTGTCAATGACCGTGAAGCTTGACGGCACCTTCGATTCATCATGACTGTACTACAAAAGTACAGATGGTGGGATCCGCAAGCGGCACATTGCTGCCTGATCGGAGTTCCAAGTGAGTGGGTTTTCGAACCGGCAGAGCTTGAGCGCGATCTGGCCGTCATGGTTCGAAGTTTGAAACGCATTCTTTGAGATCCGTTCCGGTTTGCGGCACGCAGGCGGACATGAACAGCGAGGTGACGCTGCGTGACGTGGCGGGGCTGGACCACGTGGTGGACGAGCTGCAGGAGGTTATTACCTTCCTGAAGCACCCCCAAAAGTTTGAGGCCATGGGCGCGCGACCGCCGCGGGTGAGCCGCCGCACCGCCCCTAGAGGCCACGTTGTTGACCTCATCCCGCCTGGCCTGCCGCTGTGATATTTTTGAGCTCCGTGTCCAAGGGTGTCCCGTTCGATTACAAGCCGTTGGTTCCGTCTGACGGCTTGACAGTTGTTCTGCATATGTTTGCGTTCTACAGCTGTGTTCAAGGTTCTTGCAGTTCCTGTTGTGCAAGCTGTACGGTTTGACATGGCGTTTTGTAGTTGAGACGTTAAAGGATACTTTTGTGAAGCCAGGAACCGCGGCTCAGAATCAGGCATAAGGTAAGAGGACCTGTGGTGTGGGATGCTGAGGCCTTGCTCGCTGTGCAGGGCATGCTGCTGTACGGCGCCCCTGGCACGGGGAAGACGCTGCTGGCGCGCGCGATCGCGGGCGAGGCCAAGGTGCCCATCATCCACGTGGTAGCCTCCAAGTTCGCCATGGGCGAGTCCATGGTCGGGGTCCAGGCGGCGCGCCTCCGCGGCATGTTCGCCTATGCCAAACAGCGGGTGAGGGACTCAGGCGGGTTCCGCTTGCGGAGGATTTTGTTATCGCCGCAGGATATCTACTATTTGCTGCAAGCAAAAGTTTATGTCTCGTATTTGCATTTGATTAGTGTGGCAACAAGGGTTTCGAAATATCAAAAAGCATAGGGCTGGTTTTTTGAACTCTTTGCATCTGGCTTTTGACCAGTGTGGGGACAGTGGTTTTGAAGTTTTTAAAATCAGAGATAAACGGCCTTGTCAAGTTCGCAATGGCAGCTGCTTTTTCGTTGCGCAGGCGCCGATCGTGATCTTCCTGGACGAGATCGACGGGCTGTGCAAGAAGCGCGCGGGCGCGCGCACGGACGTGTTCCGCGAGCAGGAGCGCGCGGTGACGCTGAACCAGCTGCTGGTGGAGATGGACGGCTTCAACACGTACGCCAACAAGGGCATCCTGCTCATCGGCGCCACCAACAACCCCTCTACGCTCGACCCCGCGCTCACGCGGCCCGGCCGCATGGACCGCATCATCGAAATGCCGCTGCCCGACACAGAAGGCCGTGTCGAGATCATGACGCTTTACAACAAGGGCTGGCAGTTCCTCGGGCCTATCGACCTCTACGAGGCGAGTGCACCGCCACCCGCTCCCTTCTGACCGGTGCTCCTCTGGCTAGGCTTGCGGCAGCGAAGTTTTGTATTCCGAGGGTTTTTCCAACTCCTCCAGCCTGCAAAGCGAGAGAGAACCACTCGTGTTCGGTATGCTGCGTTTGTGTAACCCGTGGTTGGACCGGGTCATTTCTTGCTCACGCTGTATCTCATTTGTGCCGCAGATTGCGGAGCGCGGCAAGGGGCTGACGCCCGCTGACCTGGCGGAGATCTACGAGGACGCCATCTCGGACAAGATCGACCACGTGACCACGTCGTTCCGCCAGATCTACGACATCTACTTCCGCAAGCGCGGGCCCTACTACGTGAGCGTGCCACTGGCCCCCAGTGTTGGTCCTAAAGGGCGACTGTAGGTTTTTATATTATTTTTTGGCTTAGTAAAACAACGGTCACAATAGGATTCAAGTCAGCTCGGTCAGCCAGTACATGACTTCGTTCGGGGGCATGCACACCGTCTCTCGGATCCTTGCACAAACTTAAGCGTCGCAGAAGCGTCACCAGGGACAGCAGCCCAGCCGCGCGCCGCCTGTTGACGTTGCTTGCCGCCTCCGCTGCGTGCAGTTCTTGCACCCGGTGGCGCTCATCCCCGGCCCGTGGCAGAAGCACATCCCGCGCTGGTTCGGCCGCGCGTTCCGGCACTTCTTCGCGATCAACCCGGAGGACTTCCAGCCGCACGAGGACCACTGCATCACGCAGGCCGACCTGCGCCGCACCATCGACTTCATCAGCCTCGAAAAGGAGTCCAAGCGCGGCCAGGTCTCCGACAAGCTCTGGGCGCCCACCATCGTGAGCTGCGCCGCCACCTGCCTCGTGTCTCTTCCCTTTATTTGCCATTTACTCCTCTGTGCCAGGCGGGCAAGCTCGAAGTGTTGCCAGCAGCATCGAGCGAGATGCGCTGTGTGGCCTTCGTGGGCTGTCGTGATTGTGGCGGGGTTCAAGAGATTGACAAAGTGACGGAGTTTTGACTGGTGGAACCACAACCGGCACCTGAGGCCGCGGCCTGGACGCCATTCATTCGGAAAGGTGTCCGTGGCATGTCTAGCTTTTCATTTTCCCCTTACTTCGGCTGCTGACACGGTCCGTGCTGGTTGCGCGCAGTGGCACACGCGGTCGTTCAAGCAGCCGTTTGCGGCGGGCCTGGTCACGACGGCGTGGATGGCCACGCTGCTGCCCAACCACCCGCCCATCATCTCCATGTGGCTCGAAAAGTACGAGGGCGAGGTGAGGCCGCACCGCAGCGGACAGCTAGCCCTTCCAGCAACATGCGCGGTGTCTCTTGAAGCCAAGTCGGTCCTTAGCACGCATCAGAACCGTACAGGCCTTTGGGGGCCCCTGGCGCAATTGTTAGAATCAGCACCTTTGAGTTTCTAACCAGCGAAGCACCCAGTTTGCTCCGTCGCTCAACCGCCGGCCTGCTCACTAGACATTGCGGGCTTGCATACGTGCACTGTTTTCCGTCTGCAAAGGCGGGCTGTGCATCCTGCCCTCGAAATCCGCTGAACCCTTTGCATGGTCCTCCGAGATGAATCTTGCTGTTGCACTTGACGCCTTGGTGTTCCGGGGAGCGGATGAAGCATCCAATCAGCAGGTTTCGTTGATCCGCGCATTGAATCTGCGGTTGTCCACGGGTGGATGCAGTCGATCGCGGTGGTGAACATCGGGACGTGGGAGAGCACGGAGTTCACGGAGGTTGCCACGCGGCGCATGCTGGAGAAGATGCTGGTCGTGCTGGTCAGCGGCTACGTGGGCCTGCGCATGCTGCTGCCCGAGGAGATGCACGACACGCTGCTGCACGTGCGCGACATCAAGCACGCGCAGCGCCTCGCGCGCGAGATGTGCGCCTCCACCGGCTTCTCCTTCGACGATGACGTCACCATGTGGGCCGGGTCCGTGCAGGGCGAGGCCAACGCCGCGCGCCACATCAAAAAGGTGCGCGCACAGCCTTGCGACAGCGCCGTGCGCCACGTGGGCTGATCTCTTGGTAGCTGTATCAGGAGTGGCAAAGCGCAGACGTTGACATATTGCTGATTAGGCTTCACTTGAGCGCTTCGGCGAATGTCCCGAGAAGCAGGCCGTCCCGTCGTCTCCGACGCATTGCACTGGTACTTGCAAAGAATCCGAGCAGAGCATCCTCGGGGAGTCCTCAGATCACGAGCAGGCTTGGGTGCTAGGACGCGCTTTGCTCCGGGCTTCCTGACGGCTTCGCTACAGAGTGACGTTTCTAAATGCGATTCGAGTAAACGTATTACCTGACTCAACTTGCAAGCCCGGCTGTGGTGACGTTGGACGCGCTGCTGACCCGCGGCCTGTTTGCGCGTGCAGACCAAGAGCCCGGCCATGGGGTGGGCCAAGCAGCAGGAGCTGCGCGAGATGGGGGACGTGGTGAGCACGCGCTCAAGCCCTTCATGAATCGCTTACATCGAGCCCCAGGCCGTTTCAGCGAAGCAATTCCCTGGGTGCCTGAATCCTGTTTCGTCTTGTTACGCTGATATTGAGGTGAAGCCGCTTCAGGCCCCAATGCTGACCTGTTTTGTCCCTGCTTTGCGTGCAGCTGGTAAATCTGGCGATCAACAAGGCGGCGGAGATTCTGATTCCGCAGAAAGCCGCCATGGAGGAGCTCATGGAGCGGCTCATGGTGCACGACCGGCTCGAGAAAGAGGTCAGCACACCTGCACGCGCCCCCCAGATATTCCGAGTTTCCCATATTTGCTGAGGATCCTTCTGGGAATAGACAGAGTAGATACTCAGCTTGTAGGTCTCTTATCAGAACGAAGAGTTGCGGCTGTGTGCCGATGGTGTTCCATGTACGAACGCTCGCTTGCTGCCTGTCTTCGCGGTGGTACAGGGCGTCTTTGAGTTGTCAGCGCTCATTGGTTACAACTCCGCCTGCCAGTCTGCCCGCCAGGTCGCGGCTAAGCTTTCTGGTCTCAGAATTTGAGCATCAAATGCTACCGTCGGATCTACGTCATACGAGGCGACGTGTGGGGTTCTAAAACTCGGATGCATACATTGGCGGCTGTGCTCCCGGATGATGGACACGGCTGGGCTTGGTCCCTCGGCAGTCTCTGGTGCTGCTGCGGAGCCTGAGCGTGCCCCGTGCTGTGTGCAGGACATTGAGGCGCACATGCGCAAGCACAACGTGCAGCCGGTGGACGAGTTCTGGCTCACGCCGGGCGGGCGCTACTCGGTGAGCACCGCCCAGCAGCTGCATACAGGCGAACGATGCTTCGGGTCCTGTTGCACCGATGCTTAGGGCTACGATAAGAGTTTTGAGAAGCCTTCCATGCAATCTCTTACGCTGGAGCTGTCGTGATTGTTTGCGTGACGAGCGGCTACGAGCCAGACACCAGAGCATTGCCAGTCCGCTCCAACTCTATGATTGTGTCCCTCATTGCCACTAACATTAAGATGAAGAACTGAAGGGGACATGCATCATCGAGTTTGTGATCGTTCTTGTCTCTTTAGCCACTTGCCTTAACTTTGATTGATTGTGTCCGTCCGCAGATCCCCGAGCCCGAGGGTCGGCGCTTCTCGCCGGGCGGCATCATCCCGGACCCCGTCGGCACGCCGGTGGACCTGGGCCCCAAGCGGCTGACGCTGGCGGCCCTGGGCACCAAGTACGCGCGCAAGTACAAGCAGATCATCAAGCGCGGCGGCTACGTGCCCGCCGACCGTTGGGACGACCCGGCCCTGGAGGGCAAGACCTGGGTCTCTGCGCCTGACTTCGCCACCGAAAATGTGCTCGAGGTGACCGTGGAAAAGGCAGGCGTGGGCCAGTTTTAACGAGAGCACGTCTGATTGCACGTCAGGTTGGGCATTTGGCGTCTAGAGGCCGACTGATATCGGTAGAACCTGCCAAACAGACTGCAAAGAACGCACTGCATGCATCTTCCGGTTCAAACGGGGACAAAAGTATTGTATTTGATATTGAAAGTACGTGGCGGTTTCCACGTACATCTGCAGAGGAGAGCAAATGTATCCGCCGGGCTGTCTCGCCTTAGCATCATTGTTACAGTTGGAGCCCTATTTGTCTTGATTCTATCATGTGTACTTACTAGTGCGCATGGCCTGACTGAATGTGTACTAATTGATTATCTAGCTGTGTGTGCGGTTCATGATGATGGGCGTCATTCTTACGTTGGAAATGCACGCCGGGTAGGTTGGCGTTGACTGGCGGGCAAGAGCATGGGCCCGTCCGATTGATCGACTGCTTTCAAAGAGGACATGGTTGCATGCCCATTGAACCGTCCGTGTCGATCGAACGTTAATAATACTTTAGAAATTACCATATATATAATTAGTACCGTATGTCTGAGCAGTGCCGGGCCTGCCTGTGTGGCATATAGAGTGACCGACAATGATAGGGAACTCAGGCTGCATGAGATCCGCGCCGCCGCGCACGTTGTTATTCTATAGCTGCATCATTGTATAAACGAGACATTTCTAAAGTGCACTAAGTACGATTGATCGTTTAGAATTTGACGAAGCTATAGGATAACCGCGTCAACGTGGGCTAGATATATCTTGCGGCGGCCCATGCGGCCATCATTGATGCATATATGCGCACCCGGCCGGCTGGCACATGGGCCGCCATTTGCCAGACCTTACCTCTGACAGCCTGATTGATTGAATATACTAATACTAATGCTTTAAAAAGGCATGCTGGCAACTTACTTTGTTTCAATGCAACTAATGAGTCTGCAACAGGATCGGCGGCGAGACCGGACGGTCCATGCAAAATATGCAAATTAACCAGGCTACTGCATACATTTCTAGTTTATGATCGACATAACCGAGGCTCGGTCACATTTGGCAAACTTGGACATAGTTGTATATCTGAAGATGCTACTTTCAATATGGAAAATGTGTGCCCTCATTGCATGCATGCAACTAGATTGAGCTACTTCGAAGCTGGTTGAATCCAGAACCACGGCTGGCGACCCACCGTCATCATGGTAGCGGAACTTCCGTGCATGCCAGAACCCAGGCTGGCCGGGCACAATGTTTGGATGGTCAGTCTAATAGGAATCTATCTCTACTCGTGCATCGCTTCAAATACGAGTAGAGGCGTTCTATCTGCAAGAGGATCCTATGCCTTGGCAGCAACGCTGGCGATGAGGTCAGCAGCCTCTTGTACAGTTTGGATCGTCCCCGCGCTCTCCTCGTCCAACTCAACTCCAAACTCCTCCTCAAGGGCCATCATGATTTCGACCTGCATTCAACAGAAAGCTTGAATTGAGCTCTTATACAAACCTTTCAAAGTCTGAACATCACTGTTCTGCATACTGCCTCGCAAATTCGTCTACAGCCAAAGCTCAAACACAATGGATTGCAATATTTGCAAACGGGCAATTCAGGCAGTGCACCGACCTGAAAAGAAATGAAAATGTTCTCGGCTCCGGAGGCAAGCATAGCTGCCCTGCATACTCATACATGTGGGAGGAGACCATCACGAGGAGGCCCTCCAAGCTGAAAACATCACGTCACGCTCCCTAACCCATGCTCCAATCACTCTTTCTGCTGAACATGAGGGCTGCCATGCTTGCCAAGTGAAGAAGGCGCCGCTCTGGCGACCCACGCCTGTAACAAGATGAGGCACTTACGGTGTCTAGGGAGTCGGCATCCAGCTCCTTGAAGGTGGTCGCTGGCGTAATCTTGGCCTCATCCTTTGCTAGTTGCCCCGCAATGATCTTCCGCACCTTGGCCAGATCCGCCTCGCTAGCCTGCACCCCACCCACTATGATCAGCCGCGGTAGTACCACTCGACAGCGCCGCACCGCAGATGGATGGTGCACCTTCTATCAACCCGCGTGGAAGAGTTGCAGAGAAAACAAAGAGACTCCACTGCCAACAGTGCGCGAGCTCCAGTCCCCGGCTGAAAATGCTCGACTGGCCATGCGCAAATGCACTGCAACTAGGAAACCCTAATTTCTCTGGTTAGGACATGTCTTTGAATTTGAAACTCTTGAACTCTTCAGAGACAATGCTGGCAGTCGCAGAGTGTGCCAAGCTGCGTCCTGCAACACCCCACGGCAGCAGCCGATTGCATGTGGCACAGGGGCGCAGTGCAGACCAGGGCGAATCGGAGCTTCTTGTCTTCTACAATGCAATGTTTTGCGCCATGAACAAGGAATGCCAGTCGGGCTCTGCGAGCGACCGCAATGTAGCTCACCTTTACCAGCAAACGGCCCTGTAAAATCAATGAATCACAGCAGCTGCATTCTGCAATCCTGCAGCCATTTCGGGCAAATACATTCTTAATGGGCAGCCAGTTAGAGGTCACCTTACCGCTGCTACGATGGTCCCCTTGCTGCATGGTGTGGCAGTGTACAGGCTCGCTTGCTTCTTAACAAAAACGCCAGAGACCGCCTTCAAACCCGAGAAGGCAGCAGGGGCAGAACACCGCTGTAAAACAAAGTAGCGACAGGAACGAACATCTGGTACTGCTCTCAGGATGGACATAGCTTACGAGCCGGGAGATCAGATGGGCCAACTTTGAGCACAGCAAAATATAGAAAGAGCCCAAGCACCTCTCCATTGCAGAAGTGCGAAATCATGGCTTTAGGGACGGAGCAATGAACTTTTTGACAGACTTTTCGCTCAAGCCGAGCCCTTATCGGTGAGAAGACATCAGGCGCCCGGGGCGGAGCTACCCACTGGTCGTCGTGCGGACAAGGAACCCCGTCCAACCAACAGGCATTTCTCTGTAAATAGGAGGATGTGGCAGGGTGCTTCTATACTGAAGCTTTCCTTGCAAATCAGCAACCAAGATCTACACTTTGATTTAACATGTGCTGCTTCCGCATCTCACACGAGCTGAGAGTTCGATACCTTTAGGGCTTCAGGCCCCAGAATGCCATCTGTGAGAAGATAGAAAAGCAATGCAGCTCTTGCTGGTTCCTAAAGAACGCCAATGTCGGATGAGCCCCGATGCCCGAGGTCATATGGAGCTCACCTGAGCAGGTCTAGCGGCAATGGCCCTAACACCAGCAACCTGTGAGATAGACCCAACAGCAATGGTGGAGGAAGCCATGGTTTTCAGACACCCTGCAGATCTTTGGGAAGAGATGGGAAGGCGGCTTTGACGTGCGGGGTACCGTCTTTGAACTTGGACTTTGAAGGTCGATCGGATGCACAAATGAAGGACTCACAGCCTGCTGCCTATAGGAGCTTCAGCCCTTCGATCAGTGCCGCAACTTCAAAGTTCTTCAAGTTCAAGGTCCGCCTGTGTTTACCCAGTCAATCCTCAGGGGCCTACATGCTTATCCACGTGACCATCGGAGGGCGTTGAGTGGTCATCAAATACACGTCGACATGTGCATCGGCCAAATCAGCAACTAGCTGCGGCAACGTTCAGAGAGAAGGTTTGGTTGCTAACCACTTCACGGTTAGTTTGCAATCATTCCAGTTTGGCCGAAAACCCTGAAACCCTAAAATCCAAAAACCTGATGGAGGTCATAACGATGCAATTTTAACTTCAAGTTTTAACTGTAAAGCAGCTCTTTCGCGTTCCAATGGGGATTGGTGAAGTCAGCTGTTGGGCGAGCGGCCGCAGGCCGGGGTCGAATACGGCCCTATGGTGCGTCGTACGG